CTCATTTAGGGCACTAAGGAGGGAAGGAAGCTAAGTTATTGAAGACATATATTCAAAACTGCGCTAGGCAGTGTGCGGGCCTTGTGTCCTATGATCCTTGCAACGCTGCAGCAGATACTGCTGCACATTCCAAAGTTCGTTTTGGAAGAAGAGAATTGAATTGAAAGGCACTTTGTAAATCAAATGCAGAAGACTTGTTGGCCTCCTTAGATATGAAGTAAAATAGAAAAGAGAAAGTTAGACGACTGCTGAGCCTCTCCTTGGGCGATGGTGTGCTGCTGTTGTTCCATCACCCACCGTGTCCGACTCTGCGACCCTGCGGACTGCCGCACATGGGACTCTGTGCCCATGGGGCTGCATATGGTGTGATGCTCCCATTAACTTAGTTGGGGAATACAGAGGGAGGGCACTTGTGAGCCACAGGAAACACATTTTGCTTGTGTTGGTGATACTATAGGACATCTCTATGAGACATTTTACAAACAGTTGGAAATTTGTATCTTAGAGCTCAGAAAGCCAGTCCTAGAGAAACACTGTAGAAATAAAGGCAGAAATCATTCCAAGCATGGAAAATGATGTTTGCAAAGACATGAATGTGTCTTGCACACACAGTTCATGTTCACGGAATGGCTAGCAATTTAGCATACTGTTTCTACAAACTGATGTGTTTAATTATATGTGTTAGTTTACATACAGCAGAGTAGTGTGAGATGAGGTTGAAAAGATAACTTTGTACTTGGTCTCAGTTGTCCTAGAATGCTGGAAAAGGACATTTGGGCTTTTATCAAGGAGCGTCTAACGGATTTTGTGCAAGGGTTGACTTAAGAGCCTGGAGACTGATATAACATCATACTATAAGCTGGATCAAAAAGGTGGGAGGCCAAGTGGAAGACTATTGCATTCGTTTTTATAAGCACCAACAAGAACCTAAACAGAGTAGTGGCAGGAAGAACAGAAGTGAAGGAACAGATGGAAGAATTGCTTTGAAGGAAATTATTGTGCAGCACAGTAACCATTCTGCATGTCATTAAATAAGTGTCAAGTTAATTTTGTAACTTCTTTCAGCACTAATAGCTTCCTTTCTTCAAGTATGCAGAGCCTTCATAATTTATTGGTCATCTGCTCGCATATTTTTTAAATAGGGCTATAATTTCTATGAGGGAGAGACTATAACTTGTTTTGTTTCCTGCTCTTCTACAACATTCATCAGAAGAGGCATGGGCTAATGTCCAACGACTGAGCAACTGAACGAAGGCTGCTCCTGTGCGCATCAGTGTACTTATTCCCAGGCTCTCGTCACATTTGCTCTGTGGCCCTGCCCCACCTCCTGCCCCAACTCTCATCTTTCCACCAGCTGTTTCCCTCCCCCTCGCCTCCTTAAGGTTGGTCGGGAGAACTTGTCTCATAGGAGTAACCAGATTTCTGAGCAGTTTGCAGAAACTGATGGGACTTTTTTTTCCAATCCTGCCTTCAGTCAAGCTCAGTTGGTTCTCTCTTTACTATTTTTAATGTTATCTCAGATGTCTCCAATAGCTTTCAGTTTAGTTCAGTTCAGTCGTTCCGTCGTGTCTGACTCTGCAACCCCATGGACCGCAGCATGCCAGACCTCCCTGTCCATCACCAACTCCCAGAGTTTACTCAAACTCATGTCCATTGAGTTGGTGATGCCATCCAACTATCTCATCCTCTGTCGTCCCCGTCTCTTCCTGCCTTCAATCTTTCCCAGCATCAGGGTCTTTTCAGATGAGTCAGTTCTTTGCATCAGCTGGCCAAAGCATTGGAGTTTCAGCTTCAACATCAGTCCTTCCGATGAATATTCAGGACTGATTTCCTTTAGGATGGACTGGTTGGATCTCCTTGCAGTCCAAGGGACTTTCAAGTGTCTTCTCCAACACCACAGTTCAAAAACATCAATTCTTCGGCGCTCAGTTTTCCTTATAGCCCAACTCTCACATCCATATATCCATCCACATACATCCACATACATCCATCTCACATCACGTACATCCAATAGCTTTACAGTTATATAAAATATTAAAAATTAAGTTCCTATCCATTTAAGCCTCCAGTTTCATTTTCTTCCCCAACCCCCACCCCAATTTAGTCTTCCCCCAAGGGACTGGTACCTCTCTCTTTTCTGACTCTAAATTCCCTAATGCTGAAGGAGAGACCTGGGGAAGGCATGCTTCTTTATAGTTAATTGGGTTTGCTTTGCAGAGCTCTGGTGGGTTTCCCATCGTTGCTCTTTGGCTACTGCTGACCATTAACAACCTCTGTGTGGCAGGTGGCCACGGGGTGTTCTCTCAAAGGAATGGTGTATGGATACCCGGGTGACCTCTGAGGACCCTACTGCACAGCTCCTTGGTGTGGGACATGTGCCTCTGCCCCAGCTTGATGCATCTAGACGCTCTAAGTTTGTACCCAGTATCATGGCTGGGGTGGTCAGCTTCTCAGATGGCTAGCAGAAAGACCTCCCTGGCAAGCTACTAATTTCAAACCTAATGATTCTCTCTCCATTCCTTCTTCCCTTTTTTCTAGTTATTTCCTTGTATTAACTGGGACAGTCAGGGAGTTTCCTGAGGCTGGGGTGATTATTCAGGGTAGCAGAGCTGGTTCAGCCACCTCCTAATAAGTCCTGGAAAATGCCTCTAGCCCCAGTAATTTTTTAATTCTCTGAAGAATGTGGAAGTATTTAATACCTTGGAGCCTCTGCTTTTGGGTCCTAGTCGCCAATTTTACTCATAGATAAATCCAGTTATTTGCAACTGCTGGTAAACTTCATTTTGCAAATCCTGAGTTGTCATTTATATTTGTAACTACTGTATAATAAACACCAAATTAAGTGTTATGTGAACAAACATCTAATGAGTAGCTAAAATGACTCAAGCAATGTAAAAGTGAAATACAAAAATCTGATGCAGTTTAGATGCCAATGCAAATAATGAATTACATGGTAATGTCAAGACAGAGGACATTTAAACCTTGAAATGGAAAACAGACTGGAAAGTGGAACAATAGGAAAGAGAAAAGGAGAAAATGGAACTTAACAGGAGTAAATATAATCCCAGAAGAAGAAAAGAGAAAGAAAGAAAGGTTGAAGTACTTGAAAATATAATTGCCTTGACCTTTGATCATGTCTAGGAAAAAACAAAAACAGCTACACAGGACAATTTGGGTACTTTTGGGGAATGCTAATACTAACTATATGTTAGGTAACATCATTTTGTCAATGTTAGATTTCTTGGGGGTGATAATACTGTGACTACGTTGGAGAACGTCCTTGTTCTTGGGACATTGCAATAAAGTGTCAGGGATAAAGTTTTATGATGTCTGCAAATGGTTCAGGAGATATGTCTTCCCAATAATTCATCTAAAATTTAAAAGACAGATGTTGTGTGCTTGTGAATGAGTGAGTAGGTATAGAGTGAAAGGCAAAAACCAAATGTAGTAACAAGTTAGCCTTTGGTGAATCGAGGTCCTGGCTATTCTGGAAGACATGGCCATGTACTATCTGTATCTCCCTTCAAGTAAGGACCTGCCAGACTTCGGGGAGGGTGGTCAGCAGACAGCCTCCAGCTGTCAGCATATCCAGGGTCTGCCTGCATGGCAGACAGCCTACCCCAGAGCATCTCCTCCCGGGACAGCAACATCCACTAACAGAGTGGTGGGACCCAAAGGCCCGTTCCTATCTGCCATGCCCAGGACACTCTAATAGCCTAAACTGTGCCAGAGCTCCAGTGGGTTCACAGAGGCTTCATCAAGCTCCATCATACTTTGGCCCCTCTTCTGCCCAGTCCTACTTCTTCATCCCTTCTTTCACAGATGTTTGATCCCTAATAAACACTTTGCACCCCTCTCCAAAAAAAAAGGAATGAGGAAAATCTCAAAAATGAGGACACTGCATAATGACAGAAAGTCTAACATGTTTGAGATTAAAAATCTGAATCCCTGATGCTCAGACTAATCTTTTCTCTGCTTGCAAATCAGAATCCTATAGATTTCCATTAATATTTATCTCCTTGAATCTAAAGGAAGAGGAAAATCTATGTTGCATTTTGCCCAGTTCTGCCGTTCCCATCCTGAATTTCACTGAAGGACCACATCAAGTTGATGGGGTGCTGGCTATCCTTAATAACTGAAGTATTCGATGTAAGGTGTGGCATGCAAAGCAGCACAAGTCAGAAGTGAGTTACTTAAAAAAACCAAGAACTGCAAACTCAACTAAAATTTCAAATAAAAGCCAAAAGACTAGAATAATCCATACAAAATTTTAAAGCCAGAAGTTTCTCGTGCTTAAAATTACTTTCACACTCCAATTTAAACTCAGAAACATCATGTTGCTGTCACACTTCTTTGTTCTCCTAAAAAAGTTAAAAAAAAAAAATCTGTATATAGCTGACAAAAAAATAGGAATCTGTCTGCCAGCGAGTTCTCTATTCACGTCTAACATACTGTAGAGTCTGCAGAACACATGGTCTTTAAACACTCAAAAGCCTCTTCTTGACTGGCTTACCACAGCAGTATGTTTCTCCAGCATGTTTGCACTACCTACAATACATGTCTTGCATAAGCATGAATTGAGTCATGCAGTATTTTCACATGCTTTGATGTTGTGCATATGAGAATTATCATCTACATTTTGGGAGTGCAGTTCCCTGTGCCTCCAGCACTGAATTTAAAACTGCTCGACTGACATCATTTTAAATTCCATCCAACAGAATGCCAATAACGTCTACAACAGAAGTTTGACATATTTAGATCTCTCAAATGTGGAACTGATTTAGCAGCTAAATTGGAAATTTCTGGGTGCATTTTTGAAAACTAATTCAGCGTGAAATTATTAATGATTTAGAATTGTGCCTCAAGTATTTTGGGTTTTCTTATTTTCTTATCCAGAAAGATTTGTTGCTTCAAATAGGATGAATTTCCAAGATGCATTCTGTTGTTGAAACACAAAGTAAACAGCTTAAATTAATCCTGACGTGCTTTTCTAATTACAGATGAGACCCATTGGCCATGATGGCTACCACCCCACCTCTGTGGCTGAGTGGCTGGATTCCATTGAACTAGGTGACTACACCAAAGCCTTTCTAATTAATGGCTACACATCGATGGACCTGTTGAAAAAAATCTGGGAGGTTGAACTTATTAACGTAAGTTGATCTCTTAACGACACTTTATCAACCCTTGATGATTCTTACCATAGGTGGGTAATTTTTTCTTTCTTCATAGCTGGACATCCAACAAGGATTTATGGATATGCCTTCTGTTTTGAATATGTGTCTCTCTTGATTCTAGTCAAGCTCCACAGTCATTATCTTTTGAAGTTTAGGAGTGGGGACTAAGAGGACTTTCAGGGTGTTTTACATTATTTCAGGAAACCTCCCAAGCAGCTTGGGGATTTCCATTTTAAGAAATTTTGTCACTCTAGGATATGGACATGATAACAAATCAGCTCCCATTCTATTCTTTGCTCTTATTCATTTTTTAAGATTAAAGTCATCATTTTTAGCTTTCTGTTATGTTTCCTTGTCTCTATTCCTTCACTGCATATATAAACCATATACTTGAAGAGGCTGCTTTTTTGTTATTATATAAGCTGCTGTAATATCAACATTTTATTTTCCAAGGCTTATAACTAATTTTAAATTGTTTGTTTTATTCGTACACTTGGCATACATTTTCTGTAAAAACTGGCCAACAAATGTTGCCATGTACTTGAGCCCAAAGAGACCAACTAAATCTGTTTAACTGATTTTGATACTGATAGTTTTCTCATTTTGTGTTTACTGCTATTTTTATTTCTAATGGTATAAAGGCATGAAAGAGTTGAAAAGATAGCATAATCATCATGCTTTCATATTTTATTTGGCATCATGCACATTTCAAAAGTGAGAAATCATTTACTCTTTTAGAGAATTTCTTAGATTTAAGTTTTATATTCTTATAACTGAAAAAAGCATTCACAAAATGAAAGACAAAGCAAGTAATTTCTGCTGGCTCAATAGCACTCTCTTCTACTCTTTATGACATTTTTTTCTCCAAAAGTCTGGTCTCTTACACTGAATGCCATTAATTATTTTAAATGATGGTTAATTAGTAGTAACTAATTATTCTTTGCTTTTAAAAGTCTGTCTTTAATATCTCTTCTGGAACATCTATAAAAACTGTTCTTTAATTTAAAAATCACTTTAAATGGACAAATTCTTGGCTCCTTCTTCTAATGCGCCATCAACTTCCCTTAGCTTTCTGTTCTTATCCTTTCACAAAAGCTTTCATCATTTCAGAAGGAACTCACTTTCTGACTAAAAGCTTCTGATTAATTTTGTTGCTAGTCTGAGTGGCAGTGGAAGCAACTGAGACCGTTTTGCTTTTCGGCTGCATCAAGAAGACTTCGGTTCTCCACTGAGAACTCGACACTCATGGCTACTCTTAGCCATTCAGTAAAGGGGGCTCTCCCGTAGATCAAACAAACATGCTTTCAATTAAGTCGCTTTCTTGCCAATGATAAATATATCTATGTAACATCTTCTGAATGATATCACTTCCCACTGAAGAATGAATACTTAGTATAGATAGCTCATGAGTCACTCAACTAACTAACATTAGCAATAATCCCTCTGAAAAGAATAGATTCCAATAGAACTCTATTATCAAATGTTCTCATTGAAGCAAGGATCGTTAAAGCAAGACTATATGTCTCTCAAAAGTCAAGTACTGGAGCTAAGAGTTAAGGTGTGGGCTTGGACCCACACCCTCCCCAGGGCTCTGTGTACTAGCAGAAGATTCCCATTTGGCCACTGTGGCCAGCCCTTGTGGATGCCTGCAGTGACTGCAGGGCAGTGATGCCACAAGGCCTCATGTTTAATGCCAGGGCTCAGGGTGTTAAACCACCTCCCACAGGGCTAACCAATCTTGAATTGGGACAGAACAATAACCTTTTCCACCCATACTGACTCTTTAAGCATTATCCCCGTAGGTACATTTGCTGTGATACAGTCTGACTCCAATCTAGAGAGAAGCGCTGTCACAAGCATTGTATCAGAATCGGAAAACATGGTCATTGTTTTAAATCTTGAGGCCAGATTGCTTGGGCCTGGAGTACAACATCTGCATCTAACACCAACCCAGTATATTTTCCTTACAGTGAACTGAATGTAAAGTTTGTGACAATTGTATGGACAAGTTCACACTCTTGCTGAGGAGGCTTTGCAAATCATTTAACTCTATAAATACACTTATTATGGAGAAAAAACACCTGTACCTTTAGACTTGGAAATCAGAGAACAAAATTCTTATGCCCTAATGTAGAGCTGCTGCAAGTGTAGTTCATTTGATGATTAGGGCTGTTGGGTTTTAAAATGGCACAGGCATAATGTGTACCTTCTGGCTTATAATGCTTTCTACTGGTCCCAAACTCAAGACTCTTATTTATTCCAACTAGTCAGGGAAGGTATTCAAATATAAGATAATCTCATATATAACATATGGGCCCAGTAATTCTGTATTAAGTATCCATAACTTATTCTTTTGTAGCCCAAAAGTCACTTTGGTTAAGAGCAAAGCTTTTTAGGGAAAGTCGCATCCTGAACCTTTGTAATGAGTGGCTAGTTTTAAAGAAACCCAGGGCTTCAGTAAGTGCCGTTCTGTGAAGAACGAAGAGAGAAAAGCGCATGCAGCCTGTCTTTGATGCAGAGGTCTGCTGAGAGGGGGGAGAACAAGGAGTGAGAAAGCTGACTGTTGTGATTCCAAACAGCTTCAGCCTCATTAAATCAGAGTGATTAACCCGCGAGTACATTATATTGTACTTGATATTAGACAACTAGTAATACTTTCTCAGTGTATTTATAAATTTATTCAAAGTATGTTCTTGAGAAAATGAAAGCTACACAATGTTGTGACTTGAAAAGTACAAATATATTTGAAATTTTGATCTTTAAAAAAAATCCCCCAAGGTCTTTTTCTTGGTGGAGCACATTAACACCTTTGAAAAAAAAAAAAAGTTATTGGAACTAACCTAATAAAGATTTTAGTCACAAAGTTACCTGAAGTATAGGCATAGGGGAGAGCAGTGGAAATCTCTTATCTTAGTAGCAGCATTGTCAGCAATAGAAATTAAGCGTAAACTAAAACATAAGGTATTGCCAGTTTTACAGGCCCATGTACATCTAGACCTAGAAAATGACATCTTTGCCAATAATTGTTTTTTACAATCTCTAATCTATGCTTTGTATTCAGAAGCTGATATTTCATCAATAGCTCTGTTTTACCTCTGTGTGTGCCATGACCATTAATAACATCATTAATATTACTTTCACTTTTGTGTTGATATTTTATGTTGTATGACAATGTTGAGAAAGATTGTCAGGCAAACTGGTCCCTCTGCAAATGGTAGCTGGGCAAATCTCTAGCCTGAATTATAGTCCTCTCCAAAGGCTTGTTAGAATTAAAAACTAGTTAGCAGTGCGTAAGTACATGATTTTGGGGGGGTTTTGCTCAAAAGTTTACTCAGGTCTTGCATTTACTATTACCAAGTTTATACAACAGTTTCCACTGCTATTTAAAAATATCAATAGCTCTGCCTTTATGGAAATTTTAAATAAAAAGGCTACATATTTTCTGCCTGAAATATGTATGGATAATTGTAAAATCTCCACAAAATCATCCATTTCCTAAACAACAACAAAAAAGTATTGCAGTTATGAAAAACAATGTTTATTTTTTATCACTGTGCACCTACGTAAGGGATTTTGATTAGATGAAGCACATTAATAAGATCCAATTTATTCATTGGTGAATATCAGTGTAGAACTTATTAGTAATTTCTTCCCATTAGTTTTATCTCTCACTTTTTACCAAGGAAATAATTCTAGTCCAGACTTAAGATCTTCTACAATATTGATAATGAAAAAAATGCCCACTGAAAGAACAAGATAAAATTCAGGCTTCAGTGCAGTCTTAAATCTCTGTTCATAAGTGTAAGAATAGCTTTAAAAATCCAACTCCAGCAGTTGGTTGTGTTTTAAATACCTTTGGGTAGAAGCAAATAAATTAAGGTAGCAATACCCATATGCATCCCATGAAAATTATTTGGGCTTATTTCTGTAGCAGTAAATTGATTAGCAGATCATTTGCTTCTTGCCTAATAGCTGCTGAAACTATATTTACATCACTTTTGCTTAGGGCTGTCAAATTTCTTTTTTGTTTTTTCTTTTGCAGTGTTGTTGATTCAATTTCTACCTTCCTAGGTGAAATTTGTGATAATCTAATCACTTGGAGATAGACTAAGAAATTTGCAAAGTTAACATTCTAATTTTGTGTTCAGTCTTTAATAGCTTGACTTTATTTGCTTTAAATGCTACAGAAATATAGTCCTCTCAACATTAAATTTAGACTCATTACTTGCTTTGATGTTTTTATTTTATGATCAGAATTATAAAGTCACACTCCTCTCTGCTCTACTCTCATTACCATAACTGCAATTAAATTTACTCCCTAAAGTTTTTTTGCATTGTCTGGATAGGTATGAATGTGTTTGGTTGTGTGTGTGTGTGTGTGTGTGTGTGTGTGTGTGTGTGTGTTGGATAAATGCAAATGATTACTTATACTCCCAACCAAGAAGAATAATCACCAAATTCACAAACTGCAGGGGAGGAATGGGGAGGAGAATATTATAATTCCATTTCCAAAACAATTATTTTAAGTAAAAGGTTATGCTTTCACTATAGGACATTAATAAATGAGAGAAATATTCATATTTCCACACCAGGGAGGCTACATCAGTCAACACTTCAAATGTTAACAACTTTAATCAAAGCCGAAGGCTTTAACTAAATAACTAGATATGAGTATTCAAGTGTAGAGCAAACTTTATAAATTATCTATGGATTTAAGCATTTAATTTACACTCGTAGTCAGTACAGTTAGCTCTTCACAAGCCTTCAGGACAACTAGACACAATCTCTGGGCTTCAGACTTCTTCAGACATTTATGTATCAGGTAAAGTCCCTGGACTCTACCCGCCCCCCACCACCACCGCCGCCCCCCCCGCCCCAGCACCACCAGTCACTCTCTCTGAATTGCAAGCTCTAGGACTTCATTGCCAGTCCAGTGATTAAGACCTCACCTCCCAATGCACAGGATGCCAATTTGA